GTGACAGTGAATATGTTAAACCATTATGTACAACATGATAATATTTATGAAGTGACATTACTATACTCTCCTAAAATAAATGGAGTAGCAAAGCGGAAGAATTAAACCGTAAGGGAAATAATGAACACAATGCTAAGAAGTTCTGAGTTGTCACAGAACATGCAGGGGAGAGAAAAGTTGTTCACATTAAATAAAAATGACAAGAAACTATGAGTTATGAAAAGATTGAAACCCAATGTTATACAAACACTTGAAAATGTGGGGTTGTCTTGAGAAAGTAATTATCATGTTACCAAAACAAATGAAAATAAATCCTATATGTTAGATTGTATTTTCTGTGACTATCCTTATATTTTAGAGGGATAGTTTGATTTTAGTTGGAATTTGATATTCAAGAAATCAACGACACAAGTGAATATGTTTCACGTTAGAAAGAAAAGTATTGTCATGGAAATCCTTAAGAAAATGGTTAAAACCAAATTCATAATGGAATATGAGTTTGTGGTTCTAGGTAAGTTTGGAGAATAAGCTGAATAGCTTTGGAATTTCTTGGATGATATTCTTAAATGGCTGAAAAATGTGCCCATAGTATGTATATACTTTGACTAGCATAGAATTTCAAGTATAATGGTAAGTATAGACATATGCGTCGTCGACATAATACCATAGACGACGGATCTTTAATGGAGTTATCTCTGTTGATTTTGTAAGATCAAAGGATAATATCACAAATCCGCTAACCAAAGGGTTAAATCGATATCAAGTTGAGAAAACATCTAAAGGAATGAGAATAAAGCCCATGAAAGTTAAAGGTGTTATGTGAAGGAAAACCCTACCTTGTTGACTGGAGATTCCAAGATCTAGGTTCAAAGGGAAAACCTAATTGCATAACTTGTTTATAGTCTATGTGGGGGTTTATTATCCCAAGTTCGTTCATATGATGTAAACAATGATCAAAGGGGTATAGGCTAAGCAGAAATATTTTAATAACCATTTTGTTTTGTGGTGAGCCGAGCAACATAAGTCACCTATGTGAGAGTGAAGTGGGGTCGCTTTAAAGAGACTATTGGACATAGTTCTTTCAAACTCTTGTAAAATCAGGCAGATGTCCATGGCTTTAAGAACATACCCATAAGAACTAAATTCTTGTCAAAGGGATAGTTGTGTGAAGTATGTCATCGCTTACACAAATGACAGAATAGTTCAAGGACACCTAACTATCTTATGCAACTATCGATCGTAGAGGCTATCACCACATCGTGCCAAAATATTTTTAATCAAATCATCACTTTCATTCACGTGGGAGATTGTTGGAAAAAAAAGTGAATTACATTGATGTATTTAATATTTATATTAAATTTAGAGTCCTTTTAACTATTGCAAATTAAAAGATAATTTTAATTTGAATATTAGTAGGATAATTACTCTTTAAGTATGTCAATTTAAAAAGGTATTTGTTATCTTTTTAACTTTGAATATTATATACTTTTGTATATTTCAAATTACAATAATATCTATTTAAGTTTAAATGGTAAAATGAGTGTATATCTAGTAAATATTTTAAATTTAAAAGATATTATTATCTATTTAAATTTAGATATTAAAATATATATAGTTGGAGTAAAACTCTCTTGAAAATCCCCTATAAATACTGAGCAAACATATTAGGTTTTGCATATCTCATAATTAAAGAACTTTTCTTCTCTTGAAAAATATTTTCTAAAAATATTTTCTCTCATTCTTAGAAAATATTCTTTTCCTCTAATTTTCTGGTGATAGTCGAAGGCAAGGATCGTTCGTAGGGATGGCAAGCGGGTACAATTTCGTGGATTCCGCACCGCACCCGCTCCAATTGGGGCGGGGATGGGTATAATTTTAGTGGGTAGTGGGCGGGTGTGGATTTAGAAAGTGGTACCCGTCGCGGGTAGTGGGCGGGTAATGGGTTTGAGACCTTACCCGCCCCGCATCCGCACCGCATCCACCCGCACCGCATCCACCCACACCGCATCCGCCCGCCCAACTAAATATCCATTAAATTTTGGACCATTATGAATTTAGGTGTAATTTTAAGAGACTAATTTATAAATCCTAATATTATATAAGATATAACTTGTAATTTAACCAAATATTAGGGATAAGTTTATGAATGATTTTTTTCTTTCAAACCTCTTGGCTTCACTCTCCAGCTTATTCAGGTATGTTTCTTCCCTTTTTACTTGAAATTTAATTTTTGTAAGAGTCAATTCCGTAGTCATTTCGTTTTAAACTCCTCTGCATTTCGTTTTAAGAGTTTAATTTTTATTTGCTCGTATTGATTTTTAATTATTTTTTAGATTCATCTTAATGTTTGTTTTAAGCTTAATTTCTTAATGTTCTACAAATCATTATCTTGTGACTGAGCACCCACGTTTTTTGCTAACAGAGTCAGATCGTTGCTTCTCAAATATCTATTTTTAACACCACTGAATAGAATTAAGTGTTTCACTTGTGCTTCTCAAACCTCCATTTTTAACGCCATTGAAACTGACTTTTTCAAATTCAAATTTCAACTGAGTATTTTGCAATATTGGTGTTTTATTATGGTGTTTTATGAGAATGATGATTGTAATACTAGAGTATCAGATGTCACAAGTATTGCTTGAAATTTTAGAATGTTGTGCCAAAGAACAAAAACATTATGAGTTTGTCATTTATGTTTCTAGACTTTAATTATGTCTTTTATTATGATGTTTTATGTACTTTAAGATTTATATTAACACTTAACTCAGATAATCATTGGTTTATTTTATTATGTTTCTTAATAGATGGGTTTGTTTTATGTTTGTTGCTTATGTATAACTTAAGTTTGTTGTCAGGCGGGTCTAGCCGGGTACGTCTCCAGTGGGTAGTGGGTGTGGGGATGGATTTGAGAATGTACCCGCGTGGGCGGGTGTAGATTTGAAAATTTTTACCCATCATGGGTGGTGGGCGGGTGGTGGATTGAAAAATATTAGGTGGTATGGGGATGGAGGAGGGGGTATCCGCACCTGACCCGCCCGTTTGCCATCCCTAATCGTTCGTAATCTCTGCAGATGTGCTACAGTAGCTGATTATAAGTTGTTGTATCTTGAGAGACAAACGATCAATGAACTCGATCACCAAAGGAGTGGCCGAAAATCTTTCTTAATGAAACTGTGTAGCGACAGGCCTCAATTATTACCAATCTCAAGATCAAAATCGAATAGTATTTTATCTTCCTTTTATTTTAAAGAAATTAAATTTCTTTATTTTATTTTTCTCAGGTCCGAATTTCGTCTTGAGTTGTTACCAAGGTTAACAATAATTTAGTTGAAAGAGAAAATTTATTATATTCTATGTTAACGGAGAGAGTGAAACATAGTTATAGTATATTTATTGTAATGCATGTTTTCTTTATAATCAAGTATCTATTCATATAAACAGACACTAGTATCTAGGTTAAAAGAGAAGTTGACCATAATTTTTCCTTTTTATATTTTTCTATTTTTGACATTAGTGAAAATTTTTCTCTTCTGCCTATAAATTTTACTAAAATAATATTCTATGTAAATTCTTGGTGTTTATTTTATTTTATTCTGTGATGATTATGTTTTTCGTTATCTTCTAACAAATTGTATCAAAATATCTTTATCTTCTAACAAATTGTATCAAAATATCTACCAAATCACGATAATGACATTCTTAAAGTATGAAATTCTTTTGTTGGATTGCAATACCAATTTCATGTTGTGGCATATGGAAGTGAAATGTAGAAAAAGACTATCAAATTTTATGTTTTGCTTGGTTCAACAATTTTTGGAGGTGAAATTATTTTCTTTTTCATGTCAGATGATACACTATTGGTAAACATATCTCGATTGAATCAAGCAAAAATAATTTTGTGTTGAACAAGACAACTGTGAGTATAACGGTTTTGAGGAACATAACATAGTTCAATTTTGTGAGTGTAACGAAATTGAGAAGAAAAAAAGAGAACAATAATTTTTTTTTACATGGAATAATAGTAAAATAGATAAAATTGTCATCAACAATCGGGATTATATTGTGCATGATATTACTCTTGGTAACATATTTATGAGCAAATGTGACACTTTTGATGTCATTACATATGTGAAGATTAAGTTATCTCTTATATTCAAACTTAGGCAAGCCTAGTATGCGATCGACAAATATTGTTGAAAAATGTCTTTTTTAAGAAGTTTCATGAAAAAAATAAAGAATATGTTCATAAGGTGAACTTATTCTTCGACGTAAAAAACATTTTTTTATTGAATTTGTATGTTTCATCGAATTTGTGATTTGTCTAGAACTCCTTGCATTTTCATAATTATATAAAGGTGTGGATTGTTAGAGTTTGACCCAAATTCAACCGAACTCAAATTGATTTGTGAAAGTAGAAAACCTAAATTGATTGAAATAAGAAAGTCTATTTTATTTTATGTTAATCGAGAGTAAGAAACATATATAGTTAGAGAAAATTTCTTGTTACACAGATTTACTTTGTAATCAATTAACTATTCTTGTAAATAGATATTAGATATTTTTTCAGATAAAACCTTAATATTTATTTTATTATAAGATAATCATATTTTCCATATCTTCTTTGGGTAAGTCTATTTTTCTTGTTTACATGAAATGATTGATTATATCTTGTTGGAAACTGAGGTGATGTTTATGCAACGAACAGAAAAAATGATTTTCTTTTAAATAAAGACAGAATATATGTCAAAATAATGAGGATTTAACTATATTTCTGTCACTGTAAATGGAAATATAAATAAGCCTACCAAAAACATATTCCTACAGAAATATAATATTCCGCCATCATCGATGACATCGTATTCTTTGTTTTACCCACTTGTTTCACAGTGCAAACTACGTATCTCCAAGTAACTCTGCCTCGACCACCCCAGAACTTAATACTCTGTCTTCTACATCTGCATCTTAAGTGACCTTATTGAAATATGAGCAAACTTGTGAAGATGGAGCACCCAACAACGAACATAATGAAGAAACTTCCTCCTGAGATTATCCTTCATATACTATCCAGGCTTCCAGTAACATCTTTGCTGCAATCGATGTCGGTTTGCCGAGCTTGGCGAATATTGATACGAGATCCGCTTCTTGTTACTACCAATCTCTCCCACATGTCCGACAGCGGTCCAAGCTTCATCTTCCAAAGCAATCGGCCGAACTCATCATATCAGCTTTTCTTTTTCGATTTCTCTGATTTCCACAGCGAAGGAAACGTTATGTTTAAGAAACTTCCTGCAGATTCCTCTATGGCTATGTACTTGGTAGATTCATGCAATGGCTTGCTATGCATGCGTGATTCGCAAGGCATGTATATTTACAACCCTTTTACCAGACTTCACTTAGAGCTCCCTAAATTGATGCACTATCCGGCACAAGTGGGACACATTGCATTCGGGTTTCACCAGACAACGAAACAGTACAAGGTCGTCCAGGTAGTAGTTCGAAGACAATTGGTTATACGAGGTGATCGCGTCGATGTCGCTGCATCTAATTTGATACAATCTCAGGTCCATGTTCTAACGATTGGAGATCTTTCTTGGAGAAATATGGGAACGTTGCCTTATGATTTGACTCGGCCGACACCAAGAGCTTTACTCAATGGGAGGCTTCATTGGCTTTCTAAGCCTGACAAGAGCACAACAGCTAGTTTGCTCACCTCGTTCGACCTGGAAACCGAGCAGTTCCAGCAGGTGCCTAAACCTGACTGTTGTGGCTCAGACAGGTGTTTTCACCATCTGATGGTTTTACGAGGCTGTCTCTCGGCCGGAGCGTATCACGATAACGAAGAATTGGAGATTTGGGTTATGAAGGAGTACGGTGTAAAGGAGTCTTGGATCAAAGAATTCACCTTAGGGACTAATTACTTGCCACCAACGTTGCAGCAAACTGATCTGCTGCACTTCAATAACGCAAGGGCTCGTTTCCCTAACTCATCTGTTAGGGTTTTATGTGTTTTGAGAAACGATGAGATCTTGTTGGAGTATCTGAGCAGACTAGTTGTTGTGTTTGACCCCAGCAATGGAACATTCAAGGAGCTTACATTTCATGAAATGCCACATTGGTACACAATCGTTGCTCATATTGGCAGCCTCAACTGGATTCACACTCCTGTATAATAAAGAGGTTATAGTACGCCCAAGAAGACGCTCGATGTTCCCCTTTGGAGCTTTGATCTTCTTCAATTCTAATTTGTTTGTTTTCTTTTTATCAATTGTTCTTATATTTTCTTTCAATCTTAGCTCTCTTATGAACAAAATTCCAGTCTCCATTTGCTTTTCACTTTCCTTCTTCACCAATAAGCATCTCAATTTGAAGGGAAAAAAAGCATTCAAACACTTGTTTAAATTAGATTACGAGTATGCTCCATAATAAATCTCTACAAAATTTGATCTAAAATAATTTATCAGTATTTAAACCAAAAGCAATTAGAACCAATTAGAACATATAAAATGACCTAAATAAATGATTGTTAAAATTGTACTTTATGCAAAATTATGAGATGCAAAACTAACTAAAATATCATAAATAAATTTGGACACTCAAAATACCATGAATGCTCGGAGAGAGAACTTTCATTTCTTTAGTTTAGCATGATTATTTATGTACCGACTAATAATATTGGTATCCGTTATTTAACCTATAATGATTTCATTACTATTATATTTTTGAATTAAGTTAAGGAGATTACAAAGTATTATTTGGTCTAAATAATCTCCATCATTTGATAATGAACGCTGAATCACTCTGCTAAAGTCGCTGGTGCTTGAACTTGTGACCTCTAGCAACAACAACGATTCCTTTAACCAATACGAAAAAAAATCAAAAGAAAAATTTTCAAAAAGTTTTACAGATGGGAATAAAATATGGCAGGGATTCATACTAATCTTGGCATCATTGCCTTTTATTAGGATTTTTAGAGCTAAATATTTAGTATTGATACACAAGCTTTTTTTTATTATTGTTGTTGTCAATTAATAAGTTCCTAGAGCTAAATATTTAGCGTTAATAAACAACCTTTGCTTTTATTGTGAGGTCGAAATCAAATAAGAATTTCTCATATTGCTTGAATAACTTAAATAAAGCTTCAATTGAAAGAAGAAACCTCCGAAGGCAAAGGGATGTTAAGAAGATAGAAGAATAGCCTTTTTGTTTTATTAAATTCTTGCTTGGGATCTAAGGTAGTATACATCTAATTTTTAGATGTTTTATGACTTTCATAAGCATGATGTCAAATTTGTTTGTGTATACAATATCTAAACATAAAACAATGCTACGTTAATAATGATTTTAGTACTTCGTGACATTTAAATCAAATTAAAAGTACATGCATACACAATCAAATCCATAACCATATCACACATTTAATCAAATCTTATACCTAATTTTAGATTTTATTCATGTATATTAGTAGTTAAAGATTTCTATTTTGGGATGTAAGTTATTTAGTGGAGGAGAATCTTTAGAATTTATGTATTACGGAATTTGATAAGTATCCAACCGTTGAATATTGTGCGTCAAGGCATCACCTTACCATATGGTTATGACCCTTAACTATATAAATATATTTACCCTTCAAAATCATGATGGGTTGTTTGTTTCCGCAAGGGAAAACCTGCTGGATTCTCTCTTCTTCATACCTCATTGTTTCCGACCGTATATGATTCGATGCTATTTATGTTATTCGACAAAACATGCCTATGTCTGTTGAAATCTCTTTTGCAGGTTCAATGATGCACTATCGTAGATATGTTCCTGTTTCGTTGTTCATCATCTTGCAATCCCATATTTGCTTGTCCTTGTCATGGCTTGCGTGGGGCATGTCACCAAACATGGACAATCAAGTCAGTCATTTAGGTACACCAAGTGATTTCTCGGCAGATTTCTCTGTACAAGCTGTTGATTATAGGGAGGGGATTCACGTCGTGGAAAAGGCTAAAGCAAAACTCGATAGCTCGAACTCGTGTTGGCAAAGAGCTTACCTACATATATTCTCGACCTGCTCGGTGATCATCGGCGACGATAGCGAAAAACGGAAACGTTTTGCCTGGGATCTTAGCAATTGCTTTCAGAACGACTCGGGAAGATCCTATTTCCCTCACTGTCATCCCGAATCTTCGATGCAAAAATGCCTTTCCAAGTTGGATGACATATCTTATCAAACATATCTTCAATTCTTCCTTGAGACCAACACAATTTGTTATCAGCTTCAGTAAGTTGCATAACTTCATATTGTTTTTACAAATGAATTGATGTTTGATTATGTTTTAAACCTACAGGGCAACAGCATTCAGGCTTCAAACGGAGAAATTGGTGAATGATTTAAAGAACGCAGCTCGGATTACCGATGAGAAAATGGATGACATGGAAATGAAAACCGAGCAATTGTTGCAGAGCTCGAACAACATTCTAAGTTCTCTTACATTAATCGGCCAACAATCGCAACAAATAGCGGAGACGACGAAGAATGCGTCGGACCATATGGATATTGTAGTGGAACATTCGATGGCGGTTTTCAAGCAATCTCAACAAATTGCAGCTTTTCAATCGGAACTGAAAACAGGACAAGAGAAAATGAAAAGCAATTTGAAAGAAGGGATGGTGATGCTTAGTGACTCGTACAAGAACTTGGGTGAAAGACTTGATGGCATTAGAAAGGAGACTGTTGAAGTAGAGAAGAAGATAAGCAAAATGAGCGATGCAATGTCTGATAAAATGAGTAGTTTGCAGATCAAAGCCGATGATATAGGAAAAATGACAGGGAATTCCTTGGAAAACCAAAGGGAACTTTTGGATAAACAATCCGAAGCTCTCGACGGACTTCAATCAATTACGGAGTTTCAATCACAAGCATTAGCCGAGAGCAGGGCGTCGTTGAAAGATTTGGCCGATTTTGGACATTTGCAACAAGAAATGCTTCTGCAGCGACAACAACAGCTCGAACAATCACACGATCATCTGGTTGAGAATTCCATGTCTATATTAGCAGCTCAGGTTCATGTCTGAACTTTAAAAAGATGCGTTTTTAGACAACATGATCGGTTTTTATACTGATTTCATAGCATAATGTTGAAAAATATGAATGCAGGAAGCTTTTGAGTTCAAGCAAGCCCACATGTTTGCAGCTTTGGACAAGCTCTTTAATATCCACAATGCCATGTTGGTGGAGTCCCGATTGATAAAAGCCTTTTTCCTTTATTGTTTATCGATATTCATAATCTATGTCCTCACCAGCACCAAGCAAACATACACCGTGAGAACCAGGCTCTATATTGGTTTATGTGCTTCATTCATGATCGAAATCGCGATTCTCCGATATCCTATGAACGATATCGAACAGCAAACATGGCTTATTAATCTGCTGAGGCTGCTCTATACTATCCTTGCATCTACCCAACTTCTTTTTGCCATATATTCATATAGGTAAAACTGTCTCAACACGATGTTAGATAATGATTTTCACATTTACATACTCAAAAATGCATTCATGGATTGGCCACAGGGACTACGAAAGGCTAAACCATCAAATGCTGGTAACATTGATTGACAAGGTTAACAGCATAAAGACTAACTCGGAGTTGTGTTGGGATTCTGATAGTGATGTCGACTGGCCGTCGTGGATCGATACCGATTTACCCGACAATGTAGACAATCTCAAGGACCCTGACTACATGGTTCCGTTTGCAGCAGCAGCAGAAAGTGAAGGCAATTCGATTATAGTATCTCAGTTTCCAGGAAGTATGATCTCCGACCCCGCCGTTGATTTAAAGGCGTCATCGGAATTAGATCACATCTTCAGTTTCGGGTTGAAGTTGAACGACTGAAAGAAGATGCTTTTTCTTCTTCCATTTAACAACTCAGTTAGGCCTAGAGAGTAGAGAACCATAAATATGATGGTATGGTTTGGCATTGAAGAAAAGATTAAATATGCTTATATCAAATTCCTGGTTTCCCTGTAAGAAAATATACGTAGAAATCCAGACTTAGAATGTAAAATACTGAATTGGTTTTAATGCAACATTTATCTTGGTACGTTGCCAATTGGAAAGCTTCATATCTTCCTCCTTAAGTCGAATGGAAAGATTTGGTTTAAGTATGTTTGGGAATAGAATTCTCCTTCTTATTGAAGAGTTAATTTATTAAATTAAATAAAAATTAGAATTAAATTAATAAAATATATAAGTATTGAGGATCAAATGTATAATCATATCAATTTTATTAAACATCAAGTAAACCTTCTATTAAATGTCCACGGAAAATGATTTTGATTGACACACTTAAATAGTTAAATGATATGATTGATAGAATTTTAAAATTGATTGTCAAAATGAAAGAGAGAATAGTTAAATGGTCATACGAATAATTTATCCTAATTCTTATGTAACATGTTATGTTTATTGTTTTAAATATAAATAATTTCTACAATAACAATATATAATTAATTATAAAATAAATAAAAATATTTTCTAGTTCAAGGACTAAAATGATGAAAGAAAAACTTAAATACTAAGTTAAGAAGGATCATTAAATTGAGGGGCAGTCGATATATTAATCCCAAAAAAGAAACTTGAGTCTAAATTCTGATCAAAGAGAAAAATAAAGAAGAAAGGAAGCAATAACTAGAAATATCATACATACACCATGCAAAATATAGGTAGTAGCAAAATTCTCCTTCACTTACATCTCTTTCCCTGTGTGTTTGATTACATCAAGATTGCATAACGCATGCTGTCTCTGACCACAAAATGATTCATCTCTGATATTTGAGCAAACTCGGTCGACACCCAGACTCCATCAACTCCATTAACCGTTGGTTGAGAGAAGCAAGACGCTAAAGAAAGGCCATTCCATGATCCACCACGCGAGGCTGTTCCGTTTATGCCAATGGCCGCATCGCTATTGTTGTTATTCCCTCCGCCGCCGCCGCACATGTTCTCATCGGCTACTCGGGGACATTTCTTCATGTTCCGCAGATTTCGTCGCAAAGCCAAGATGATACGCCACATCTTCGATGTTCTTCCGGGGATGGTAAATAAGAGATTCGGTTAATTTAAGGAATGAATGGAAGACCACCTTTTTGGAGATGAGATTTTGATCAGTGGTGGACGTGTTAGTGCTTGTGTTTATCACTTTGTGTTTATTGGGTTCCTTTTTCTCTCTTTTTCCCCCCTATACTTGTGGGGTCTAGTTAAGGCCGACAAGGATGCCTTCCATTCAGAAATTCTTCATTTTATAATAATAATAATAATTTCATTGTCTTCAAATTGATGGCAAAGACAATGAAATTGTTCTTTCGTTTACGGTTCAGTTGAGTAGGTACGGATTTATAGAATAGAAAAGAGAGGTATGCTTTGAGGCAAAAAGTTCAGCCGATGAACATCTTTGATTCAATTGGTGTTGAGTTTCACTTGTACCAATTATTGCCTAATTTTATCATACCATTAGAATCATAACACCCATTGGAAAGTTTGGATTCAATCCCTTTATAATTCCCTTTAAATATTTTCATTTGTAAGTTATACATTTTCAATACCACGATAATCGATTGTGTTTTTACTCTATTATAATATATGATAATAGTTGTAGACACAATTTCGTTCGACCAGATTTATATTCTATTCATGTTTATATTTATTATGTGAATTATTTATATTATATGATATTCTATGGTGTATACGCATTGCATATGTATGATGTTATATAGTATGCATACATTGTATTTATATTAATATGTGTATATTATATAGTATTATATATACACATTACTACATTATACATATTTAGCATTTTTATTTTGTTTTTAGGCCCAAACATAACCTTGAAGCCCATTACAAGCTGTGACCCAATATAACAGTGGTCCAGTAGTAAACTCGGATCTGGAGCCCGACCCGAACCGACCCAGTCATCAACCCGAATCGATTAGGGTTTCAAAACCCTAACCTTTCCCTTTATTCCAGTCGCCAAACATCTCCACCGTTGGATCAAGATGAGATCCAACGGTCCAAAACAGAGCTCAGCTAGGGTTTCTCCTTTTCCCTTTTCAACGATGCATAGTCCACTTGCCAAGGGGAACCGTCGGTCAAACGTTGGAGAGTCCTCCCCGATTTCTTGGGCATAGCCAACGACCACAACCCAACAAACACAAGATCACGTATTTTATTCCTAGTAATTAAACACTAAAACCGAACAAAAATAAAGGAAATTCTAGGACTATATATGTATAAACTCAAAGCAAATAGATCATCAGAAATCATAAGCAAAATACACAAGAGAAATACGAGCAAATACATAGCACTTGTAATTTTCAAAAGGAAATAAAAAAAAGGTATCTTTTTTTACCTTTCTCGGTTCTTGATGTGTGGTTAGCCTCGGTTTTTTGGGTTCTTGTTTCGTTTTTCTCTTTTTTGTTCGAAAGGCCGATGAACAAGGGGGAGGGTTTTCGAGAACTTATTCTCGGATCTAGCCCTCCACGAGGTTTGTTTTTAAAAACCAAAGGCATATTCGAAAAGAGGACAAAGTGAGCTTTTGAAAAATCAAAACTAAAAAAATTTCGGTGCCCGACGAGGCGGCGCTGGCCGGAATCTGGGTTCTCTATGAACCCAGGCGGCTGTGTTCTTCATCAGATGAAGAACAAGGAGAGAATTTTTTGGGTTTCAATTTTGATCGATTTGGCTGGGGGAGAAAATGAATTTTTGTTGGTGAATGTTAGCTTTTATACTACCCAACTGGATCCCATGTTTTGTCGAAAAAGGGGTCAAATTGCAGGTTCAATCCCATTTTTTTAAAAAGTTCATTTTACACTCCAAAATCAATTTTAATCTCGATTTCCTTTTAAAATTTACCATCTATTTTATTTTTCTTTCAATTTAGTCATTTTTAACGTTTTAATTAGTGTTTTTCTTCTTTTCTTTTATTTATTTAATATGACATTTTATTATATCTATATATATTATATTTTTTTGTTCCTTTTTATCTTATTTTTTATTTTATTTATTTCCATTATTTTATTTTATTCTATTTTTGTCTTTATTTTTTATTTTTATTTTTACTTTATTTTATTTATTTTGTTATTTTCCCCTTTTTTGACATTAGCCTTTATTATTTTTTATTTATTTTCCTTTTTTTATTTAGCTATTTTTAGGGTTTTTATATTTATATTTTATTTCATTTCTTTATTTTAGTAATTGTTTATATTTAATCTTGCAATTAGTATTTTTTATTCTTACTTATTTAAAATATACTTTTTTTACATTATTTTTTTGTTGTGTGTTTTAATATGCGCACTTTATTTTTATTTTTGTTAATTCCTCAGCATGTATATATATATATATATTACTTAAAATATCATAATTTAACCCTTTTTTCCTTTTGGATTTAGCATTTTACTTTACCAATCTAATGTTTTTTTGACTTTTAAGGTTATATTTTTAAATCGATTGGAGGTAAGTAATTTGGATCAAATTTTACTTTTTAATTTAACTTACAATTTTCTTAATTAAGACAATTGGAAATTAAATAGTACCGAAAGGGCAATTCAAGGGTGCTAATCCTTCCTTGACTGTAACCGACTCCAGAATCCGACATGTCTTTGGTAAGATATAGATCAGGTAAGAAATCGAGGTATCCGATCAACCCATTTTTGTTTTTAAAATAAATGATCAGTGGCGACTCTAACCCACTTATTTAAGTCGAAGCCCAATTCTGGCTACCGAAAGACGACCGAGGCAACTTGGAGACTCTACTGGGGACAGGTAAGTGAGTTAGGCTAAGGTTAATTTCCAGTTGTCTTCTTAAGTGAAAAGTGTAAGTTTAAATTTCAAGTTTATTTTTCGATCCTTATTACTTACCTTTGATTATCTTTTCAAATAAATAGTTGTACTAACGTTTCTTTTAGTGGTTTCATCTTATCAAACTTTTTTCCACCTAAGGCTCTATACCCGAGCTCTGAACCTTTTTAAGTGAGGGTAAAACGACGCCTTCGTGAGAATTTATTCTCTGCATAGGCCTAGTAAGTAGCCTTCGGATTCATATACCTTATGTCTTCGTGTGAATTTATTCTCCGCATAACATAAGGGAATGTATCATCTCGAGTTTAACTTAGTCCACATAAGCTTGTAATGAGCTTAGGACTAAGGGTCTGGCAAGCCCAAGGGGGCACCGGGAAGAAGAACTCGGGTACCTTCTTTAGAACCTAAACCGGGATACTACATGGAATTAAACTACCCCGAAACTCCATTTCAAAACCTATGATTTTTACCTTAATCATGCAGTTTGTTATTTTTTTAGTTTCATCATCATTATTTTTATCTTACTAAAATTTTTTTCATGTTTATCTTTTTAGCATTTGCATCATAAAAAGAGGTCATTGATCCATAAAAAAGTGTTAGTTATACACAAATAATCTGCATTAATGGGAAAACGGATTGTAATGCAAGAGGTGAAAAATGTCGAGGTACGACTATGGTCCGAAAAGACTCAGAAAAAAGGGAGACAGTCTGCAAGGAAGTTATGTGTCAGAACTGGTTAGCTATGCTTCCGTTAGCCAAAAGAAATGATGTTCGAGAGCTACGGAGCATTTAGGACAGCTAGAAGAGTGACCAGAAATAGAAGTTTAGCCAGCGGTATGGTGATATCGCATTCCTACTTTATGTCAAGACATACGAACCCTTAATTAGCCTTGGTAAAATTCTAGAATATGGGGTATAGCTCTTTCACCTTTAACCAGAGGACATGGTATCACAATCGAAGAGTATACTACATTGCTACATTACGAGGGAATCAGAATGGAGTGGGTCTACATCAAGCACATTAAGAGTTCCTTTTAAGAACGGACTGACAAAGGTTGCGAGAGTAGATGAAAAATGGGTAACTGATCGGGTTTGACATAAAGGTAACGGGGAAGGAATTGCTTGACCCAAATCAAGCAACTAATGAAGAACCATCCCCTTGAATGGAAGACAATGATCTTTTTGCGCTGGGCCTTTATGGTTTGGTTATCTTCCAAGAATTTTAGGTACATTGATGCAACTATAGTGGAACTTTTTGAACAGCTCCCGAGGTGAGTAAATCCAACACCGATAATTTTAGTTAAGACCTTTCGCTCTCTCAATCACTGTAGAAAGACGGGCGGAAGAAGATTCGTAGGGTGTGCCCAGCTTCTCCAAGTTTGGATCCATAGTCATTTTGAAAGACTAACAGGATTGCTTATCGCCGATTTAGCACAACTTATTCACCTTTGGGGAATTCCTTACTCTGAAATGGCTAGAAGGCACATCAAAAGAAAAGTGGGTGAAAGTATTCACATATCTTCAAGATAGGGATATTTCCTGGAGAGCTCATTGGTTAACCCACAATGATATTCTCTTCGATGTGGGGATTCAATACTATGACATTCCTTGGATTATGGGGAGGAGTTGGATATTCTCCACTTTTGGCATTTTGACAGTATGGGCACGCCAGTTTGTCCAGCAACATACGAAATATATCGATCGAAATTTGCATACCATGGGTAAAACTACAATAAAATGGTCAAGGAAGTAGCTGAGTCATAAAAAAGTATTTCGGATGGATGTCGTGGCTACCAAGGAAATGCTTACTCCATACTATTTGGAATGACGAAGTTAAGAAAAAATGACAACATCCCCATGCCGGATCATGAGGACACCTGGGTCATGGAAGAACATCTTAAGCCTGCTCCTTTCGAGCTAGAGATAACAAGGAAATAATTTGAAGCTGTAAAGAATGAACTGAAACAAAGGGTAAGGGAACTTGAAACTGAAAGTAAGGGAACTTGAGACTGAAATGTTCCAGTGGAAATTAGATACCGATACTCAGAAGGATCGGGCAGACAAGTTAGAGAAGGAACAGAAAAAATCATGTTTTGAGCTCGAAGACTTGAGAAAAGGATATCGAGAACAAGTCCAGAGCAATTCCAATCTGAAAAGGTCTTCTGAGTACTAGAAAGGCGAAGCTAGTAGCTTGAAAAGGAAGTTTGAAGGGCATGATG